CCTCCCGCCGCAGCTGGAGCTCTACCACACCGTCATGTACCGCAACTACCAACGGAAGAACGACATGGACGAGCCGCCGGCCTTTGACTACGGCTCTGGGGACGAGGACAGCCAGAGGGAGAAGCGGAAGAGCAAAGACCCGCAGTACGCCAAGATGGAGGAGCGGTTCTACCGCTACGGCATCAAGCCCGAGTGGATGATGATCCACCGCATCCTGAACCACAGGTGAGGAGCCGCGTGCGGGGGGTGCGTGAACGGGCCGTGGAAAGGCGTGTGCCAGCGTGCCCGAGCCCCTGGTCGTGCTGGCGCCGAGCGATGCTGTTGCAAGCCAGGGAGGGAAATGGCAAGGGCGGGCCCTGCCGCGCTCCCCGGGACCCCTGCGAGTCCCACAGACGAAGCTCTGAGCTGCAGGTCTGTGTTCTCTGTGGGTTTTCCCTTCGTGCACAGCCCTCACATGGATGGTTTGGGCAGCTGGCTGAGCCTCTGGGCTGCCTGCTGAGGGATTTCTGTGCTCGGCTGGGTTCTCCCCGCTGGGGCCGGGAAGCTCTTGCTGTGCTTCTGCAAAGCCAGAATCTCGGGCTGGTGGACTTTCAGCTGCTGGCTTGTTCTGAGGTCTTTGTTGCTTTGGAGGTTTGCTCCCGAGGTGAAGCCAAGGCCAGAAGCACATCCATGCCTTCCTTATTTTCATTTCTGCTATGTTGCATGTTAAAAATAGAGATAGGAAATTTTTCTAAAGCTGGATGCGCAGAGTTGTTGGACCCAGACGTGTTGGTTGCGTCCCTGTTACAGCCTAATCATTCCTAAGTGTCTGCTGCAACCCAGCGGTGGGTCTCGCTTCTGTCGACCGTGCCCGGCGGCTGCTGCCGCTCCCTAAACCCCTTTGGAGCAGCAGCCCGTTGCCGTGTAGGTCACTTGTTCCTCTTGGAACCCACACAGCCCCTCCGCGCTCGCGTCAGAGGTGAGGCGCCAGCAGGGATTGGTGCACTACGTGTACCCGAGAGGGTCGTCGGTCCCGCTTACCTCCCCCCGTGCCGAGAGGGACGGTGCCCGAGGAGAGGAGATTGAGCGGTGCCCGATTCCCTTATGGAGCCTTGACATTTGCGTTTCTTTTCTGTGGAAGAAATTTCCTGCACGTGAAATGTGCTGTGCAGATGTTTTTTTTTCCATCGAGCAGGTAGAGACACCTTTTTGTTGAATTTCTATGTCTCAAGAGGCTACTGGAAGTTTCAAGTGGCACCTCTGCTTGAGGGCTGCTTGGCAGAAAATAAATAAAGCTGCCCGGCTAATTTTTGTGCGAGCTTTCCGTTGTCTGCTAGTAAGGCAGGGGTTTCTCCCTGTAGGCCTACAGTCAGACTTGGTAGTGGGTTTATTCATTTTTCAGTGTTAGCAAAACTTCACGGAGCGGTGAGTGCTGCAGGAGAAGGGAGGGTGAGCGCTGGTATTGGTGTGGTCCTGGCGAAACAGGGAAACGAGGCTGCCCAGTGGGGTGGAGGAGCAGCCTGTAGAGCTCAGCGCTTTAGCACACGCAGCAGATTAATGGGCATTTCTGCCAGAAAGTGTCAATGCTTCCTTTATGTTTTTCTACCTCAGCTTGGATGTCGTGGTCTGTAGGTGAAAGCAGAGGATGAAGCATCCAGTTCCGTGGAAGCAGGTTGTGGGTAGCCGCTTCCCGCGGGTCGAGTGTCGTGTCACTGACAGGCTTTTTGTGCCCTGCGTTACAGCTTTGATAAAAAGGGAGACATCCATTACCTGATCAAGTGGAAAGACCTGCCGTACGACCAGTGCACCTGGGAGATCGACGAGATAGACATCCCGTACTACGAAAACCTCAAACACCTCTACTGGAACCACAGGTACGAGCTGGCCTGGCCGGGCTGCCGCAGTCTGGAAGAGCCAGGCAGAGCTGGGGCAGCCTGCGCAGGCGTTTGGGGCAGCAGGGGGCTCGGAGGTGTCCCCCTTTCGAACATACTGGCACCGCTCGCAGGGACCTCTCTTCAGAGAGCAGTGGCCAAGCACTTTGGGAAAGGTGGCCCTCCCGAAATGCCGTTTTGGGGCTGCCGGGAAAGCCTGCCTACCCGTGGTTTTCCAGCCTGCGCTCCCCTTCCCCTGCGTTTGCACTGCCGTGGTGTTCGTGGTCTCGCTGCGCTTCAGGGCGGCTCCGTGGCGCTGCTGTCTGTCCAGTTTGGGGGCAAACCACAGCACTCTGATGGGATTGCTAATCTTCGTTCTGGACGATGTTGCGTGGACTGTTGGGAGGGGAAAATTAACACTCTGCGAGTGCCCGTGCTGACTGGGCCAGAAAAGCTCCTGTGGGGAAACGGCAGTGGGGTGTGAGAGGCCTTTCTGCCCTCAGCTTGGGGGCGGGGAGAGGAATGCCTGCCTGCCTCTGCCTGATGCACGCTGGCTGTTGCAGGGAGCTGATGCTGGGGGAGGACACGCGCCCTCTGAAGAAGCTCAACAAGAAAGGGAAAAAGCTGAAAGAGGAGAAGCTGGAAAAGCCTCCGGAAACGCCTCTCGTGGATGTGAGTAAGAACGGCAGGGGCAGCGCGAGGGTGGGTGACCCCAGAGAGAGGGAGGGCTGTCTGCCCCGCCCCCGTTTTTCTCCTCTAGTTCCTTCCTGGGTTTTTTCTTTCAAGGCTCCAGAGTGGCTTCACTGTGAGGAGCCTGAGGGCTGGGCTCTGCTGGGGAGCGTGTCTGCATCTCTTTTGGGGCTGTTCGGTGGCACCAGGCTAAAGAGGGATGCGTTTGGCTGCAGAGAAGGGAGGGGAGTTGGTCCTCACTGCTTTGCCTTGTGTCTGTCTCTTCTTCAGCCTACGGTGAAGTTCGACAAGCAGCCGTGGTACATCGACGCCACGGGAGGCACGCTCCATCCTTACCAGCTGGAAGGGCTAAACTGGCTGAGATTTTCTTGGGCCCAAGGGACAGATACCATCCTGGCTGATGAGATGGGGCTGGGCAAGACTGTGCAGACTATTGTGTTCTTGTATTCCCTGTACAAGGAGGTGAGTGGAGCATCCAGCAGTCCCCGAGGCTGCCGAGAGCTGCTCGGTACAGGGAGAACAGCTTGGGCTTTGTCTCCCTGAGCAGGGCCACTCGAAAGGGCCGTATCTGGTCAGTGCCCCTCTCTCCACCATCATCAACTGGGAGCGTGAGTTTGAGATGTGGGCACCCGACTTCTATGTTGTGACCTACACTGGGGACAAAGAAAGCCGGTCGGTCATCCGGGAAAACGAGTTCTCTTTTGAAGACAACGCCATCCGGAGCGGAAAGAAGGTCTTCCGGATGAAGGTGGGAGCTAAGTCTTGCCCTTCCCGGCAGCTTTAGCCATCAGTAAGAAGGGGAGAGAGCAGAATTTGACCCGGAGGTTGGTTAGGTCCCTAATCGGGTGTTTTCCAAAGAGGGAAGCTGGCACTGTTTACAAATGCAGGGGGTTTGTGGTGTAGAGATTTCTGCCAGACCCTTTGCTGTTTCTCTGGTCCCCTCCTTGGTTCTGACGTTCAGATGGGTACAGATTTTCTGCTGGCACGACTCGTGCCTCAGCCCTGCTGCTGGTGCTGTGCAGTGCGGGGCAGGCAGCCCCCGCTTTTCTCCTGGGGTCACGTGCAGCAGCGGCAAAGGTGGAGGCCGTCCTGTTCCCTGCTCTCTAGCCCAGGCTTTTCTCTCCCTCTGCTCCTCCAGAAGGAAGCCCAGATCAAGTTCCATGTCCTGCTCACCTCCTACGAGCTGATCACTATTGACCAGGCGGTGCTGGGCTCCATCGAGTGGGCCTGTCTGGTGGTGGATGAAGCGCACAGGCTGAAGAACAACCAGTCCAAAGTAGGTAGCAGGCGTTGGCGAGCGGTTTTTGTGGTGTGGCTGGTGCCACAAAGATAAGATGTCCCGGCACCGGCTGTCTGCTGCTGCGTGCTCTCCTCCCTGGGGGCTGAAAGGTGTCCTCGCCTCGCACAGGGTCTGCCTGACCCGCGTTTCAGTGGGTTTGCTCTCTTGAACATCTGGTATTAAAAATCCTTCAGCAGTGGAAGAGGTGGCAGCCTGGCTGCCTGCCTGGCAGCCCTCGAGTGGGCTGTCGTGGAAGGGAATCGATCCTTCTCCTTCCTCTCCCCTTTACCTGAAGCTAAACGTAGTCTCCGGCCCCTGGGACCATCACACAATCCCCCGCGCAGCGGGAGGCGGACAGCGTGACCCAGGGACGTTCAGAATTGCTGCCTGTGCTGATGGGGGTGGCTGGGAGCAGGACATGCCAGCTGCGGTCTGCTCTGCGTGATGGGTCTCCATGTGCGCAGTCTGCAGAGTCCCCAGGAGACCTGTTGGCTCCTCTGAGCTCTTTTCACCTGACCTCACTTCTTTTCCCAGTTCTTTAGAGTATTAAATAGCTACAAGATCGATTACAAGCTGCTGCTCACTGGGACTCCACTCCAGAACAACCTGGAAGAGCTCTTCCACCTGCTCAATTTCCTGACTCCCGAGAGGTTTAAGTAAGTTGCATTAGTTCCCCGCTCCAAAAGGGGAGAGCAGCCAGGGCCTGGCCAGCGGGGCAGCCCAGCAGAGGTTTTCCAGTTTCCTGGGGCTCCTGCCTGTGTGGGGGTGCCAGGACCCAGTTCGTGCGGTGCCAGCGTCGATGCTCTGCACCGGCGGGCGGATGGCAAAGCGCTTCGCCCCTGAGGGTTGTCAGGACAGCTGCACGCGTGTTTTATGCAACCCCAGATTAATTCCCGTGGTCTACGGCTTTCTGGGTCCTGTGGGTAGCAGTCGCCTTGCTACCGGTCAGGAGATTTGTGAGTGAGGAGCTGAAACCGGCCTTCTCTTCCCTCTCTCTGAGCAGACAGAGGTGCTTTGGGGAGCTCGTTCAGGCCTCGTGTTTGTGCATTCAGTGTGAATTTCCCCTCAGCCGTCGGTGTGCCTTCTCGGTCTGGCTTTTGCTCTGCTTGGGTCCAGGCGGGGGAGCGCTACCTCATCGTACACCACGAGAGCTCTGCCCTTGGGTTTAAGTCACAAGCAGATCTCTCTGCTCTCGCGCGTCCCATTATCGCTCAGCGCTGTGTGGTTCTGGCTGCCTTCACAGTAACCTGGAGGGGTTCCTGGAGGAGTTCGCGGACATCTCCAAGGAGGACCAGATCAAAAAGCTCCATGATCTGCTGGGTCCCCACATGCTGCGGCGGCTCAAGGCGGACGTGTTCAAGAACATGCCGGCCAAGACGGAGCTGATCGTGAGAGTGGAGCTCAGCCAGATGCAGAAGTGAGTCACTGCAGCACAGCTGCCCCGGGGCGGCTGGGACCCGCCTCATCTGCAGCGCGGCAGGGCCTCACCGGGGTTTGGCAGGTCAGAGACACCCCAGTGCCCTCAGGCCGGCTGCGGGAAGAGCCGGAGTGCCTTCTGTCTCCCCGGGGGGCGCGTTCAGCCCGGTTGAACGGAGCTCTGTGCAGTCCCGGCTGCTCAGCAGGGAGCGTTTGGTGCGTGGCAGGCTGTCAGCGGGGCTCTGCTGGCTCTGGGGGGCGCAGAGAGAGCTCTGGGGCTGAACCCACTTCTCTTCCTCCTGTTCTCGGCACCGGGGCGCCGGCCTGCGCTGCCAGCTCGCCTGGCGTCACTCTGGAGCATCGCTGCTGCCCCAGGGGCTGTTGCTCAGCTCCGTTCGTGCCAGGCCGGCTCGCTCAGCTTCAGCGGCATCTTGTGCAGGGATTGGGGCCTGGCAGGGAAGGGCACGTCGCTTCTTCCCGGCACGGTGGGGCGAGGCTTGGCTTATCCCCCCTGCAGTGGGGAGCATGCCTGGGCGCTGTGCCCCTGGGTCTGTGCCTCTTACGGGGTGGGGGTGGGGTGATGCCCACCGAGCACTCAAATAAACCTGGCCCCGGGCTGAGGGTGCTGAACTGTCGCTTTTCAAAACGTCCAAATGTCCCTTTTGAAGTGACGTGAGTGGGGTTTAATTCGGTCCTGTCCTGCTTGTGCCAGTCCCACATCTGGCCAAGTTAGCAAGGGTGTCTGTCCCACCCCTGTTCCTGCAGGAAGTACTACAAGTTCATACTGACGAGGAATTTCGAAGCCCTGAATTCGAAAGGTGGTGGGAACCAGGTCTCGCTGCTCAACATCATGATGGACCTGAAGAAGTGCTGTAATCACCCGTACCTCTTCCCTGTGGCGGCGGTGGTACGTCAGCTCTGTTTGCACCCTGGAGACGTTTCTCACAATGTTGTGTGTGAGCTGTGGTGGGGGCTGGTTCCATGATCTTGCTTTGGTTGGCGGGTGGGCTTTCTTGTGAGTGGTTTCACACAAGGATCTTGTCTCTGAAACGCCTGTGAATTCCTCTGTGAAGTTAACGAGCGTTGTCCTCAAAGAGGCTAACCAGGATGCCTTCGCAGGAGGCCCCGGTTCTGCCCAATGGATCCTATGATGGGAATTCTTTGGTGAAATCTTCTGGGAAACTAATGCTGCTCCAAAAGATGCTGAAGAAGTTACGGGATGGGGGTCACAGAGTTTTGATCTTCTCCCAGGTGAGCATCGGGAAGGATTAATAATAAATACACCTTTGAAGGATTTTTTTTTTTTTCTGTGTAAGAGTTTGATCACAAAGATGATCAAAGGACTGGGAGGCCTGCCTTATGAGGAAAGGCTGAGAGAACTGGGTTTGTTCGGCCTTGAGAAAAGAAGGCTGAGGGGAGACCTTATCACCGTGTTCCAGTATTTAACGGGTGGCTTTAAAGAAGATGGAGACTCCCTGTTTACAAGGAGTCCTGTGGAAAAGATGAGTGGTAATGGGAACAGGTTGCTGCTGGGGAGGTTCCGGTTGGATGCAAGAGGAGAATGGTTCACAAAGGGAACAATCAGCTGTTGGAATAACCTCCCCAGGGAGGTGGTGGATTCCCCAACAGTGGGCACTTTCAAGACTCAGCTGGGCAGGGTGCTGGGCATCCAAGAAAGGTTGGACCAGATGAGCCTCGAGTTCTCTTCCAACCTGGTATTCTGTGGTTCTAGTGCCGTCCTAGGAACAGGTAGAGGTAGGTGGAAAGGCTGGTGACAGTTTGTCCCCTGACAGCGTGGCAGCTGCCGCAGTCACGGTGGCTGGGCTGTGTCCCAGCTCTCCCCAGGGAGTGCCTGTGATGTTTAAAACCTCTGTTATCTGTGGATGAAGGGGAGATAACGGTACCGGCACTCCTCTTCGGGGAGGGCCGTTCAGACGCGGTTCTCTCGTGCTGGCAAAGCTGCCTGTGGGAGACGAGACGCCAGTGTTGCTCCTCTGGCGGTTGCCCGTTGGCCATGCTCTGCCCTTGGTGGTACTGCTGCCACCTTGGCCTCTGGCCAGCGGGCAGGGGCCCGGCCAGGCAGGGCGGGTCC